GGGGGGGGGGGGGGGGGGGGCAAGTGCCCCACCTTGCCCCTACCTGCGGGCGCCCATGTATAAATTTAAGCATTTTAAAAACCAGGTCTTTAATTGGACGCACGTTTCAGAGTCATTCGCTGCTTTAAACATTTTCAAAGTCATGCTCTGTAGCTTTCCAAATACACCCCGATGTTGTATCATCTACTGTAGATATCATCGTTAACTTTTTAATCATTCGAAATGTATTACAAAATTACCGTTGACCTGTCATTCACATGCATTCAATCACATGATTGACAGTCTCACCTATGCGTGTCACTTGTTGTTACGTTGTTCAACGTATAGGCGTCAGACTAATTTGATAGACTTGTGATTTCCGGCTTCATTAAACCTCAGTTCTTAATGTCGTATCATTTTTTGAATGTTCCTTTACAACAGTTTAAACAGTTTCATCTTGAAAACATCATTAAACAATCATAAACTGATTCGATTTTCTTTGAGTTTATCATTTGTGTGTGTGTGCGTGGGCATGTATGTGTGTGTGTCTGTGTTTGTGTGTGCGTGTGTGTCTTTCTAATTTAAAAAAAAAAAAAAACTAAATAAATTTAAATCCATCAAAAATGTTGTCCCAACTCTACAACATCATATTTGAGACATGATAGTGAAATAAGTGATTAATCCCAGACATAAAGACATGATTAAAGAACTGATTGATTATATCTCTGACATAATGACACGAAAAAGAAGTCATTGATTAGATCTCCCACATAATGACATGATAAAGAAGTCATTGATTAGATCTCCCACATAATGACATGATAAAGAAGTCATTGATTAGATCACCGACATAATGACATGAAAAAGAAGTCATTGATTAGATCTCCCGCATAATGACATGATAAAGAAGTCTTTGATTAGATCTCCCGCATAATGACATGATAAAGAAGTCATTGATTAGATCTCCCACATAATGACATGATAAAGAAGTCATTGATTAGATCTCCCTTCATAACGATGATAAAGAAAGCCCTTCAGAAGCTCAACAACGGTCCATCCAGTGTTTTGGCCGGCTACGTCCTGCTGCTCATGCTTCATTTTTAGACTGAACAAATGTTGGGACTTGAACTTGAAATGACCTGAATTCTGCAAGTGAGCTGACCAACCAAAGTAAAGGCTTATTCATAACATGCACTTAGCATCAGTGGCGTAACAACGGCTTGGCATTGGGACAGTTGCCAAGGGCATCGGCCTGCACCAGTTCAAAATCTCTAATTTTTTTAAAAATATTTAAACAAAAGGGCGCCAAAAATAAATTAGCCAAGGGCGTCAAAAAGCCAGTTACGCTCCTGCTTCTCATCTTTATTGTAGGCTTAATTGAAGGTTTCTTTAACTTAATTTCTGCCAATAAAGTTTTGAAGTTTTAAAAAATAATAAGTTTTCATACAAATTAAGGAAATTCCATTCAGAAGAAAAAATTAAATTAAAAGCTGAACTGCAAATGTTAAAAAATCTTTTACATTTCATGCTAGAGTTCAAATTATTAAAACGCCCTGGCTTACTACAGTGGGTCAGGACAATACACAGACATCCAGCCTAACAAAACCCATTTAAAAGAACTCACATAATTGTAAATTAAATGATCAAGATATCTGGTTGTATTTTAATAACATATATTTTTTTAGGGGAAAAGAAAGGAAATTTGAATGTGTTTCTGGACAGCATCATTATGTTTTCAGGTTAATTCAAGTAAACAAATGTTTGAATTCTTAAACTTTGACGGAATAAAAATGAAAAAAAGGAGGTTGGTGTGGGGGGGGGGGGGGGTAAATTGTAGATGGTACTTTTGTTAAAGAGTAGAAATGATTGGTGCCAGTTATGTTGGAGAGTAGAAATGATTGGTGCCAGTTATGTTGGAGAGTAGAAATGATTGGTGCCAGTTATGTTGGAGAATAGAAATGATTGGTGCCAGTGATGTTGGAGAGTAGAAATGATTGGTGCCAGTGATGTTGGAGAGTACAAATGATTGGTGCCAGTTTTGGTGGAGAGTAGAAATGATTGGTGACAGTTTTGGTGGAGAGTAGAAATGATTGGTGACAGTTTTGGTGGAAAGCACAGGGTGTTTCATTCACTAACGACCCTATCTCTTCCAGAAGAACTTTTTAACAACTAATTTAGATACTATTGTGAAGGTTCACAAGAAATCATCAAAGTTTATGAGATATTATCTAATCTCTTTGATATTTACAGGCTTCCTTTTTCAAGGATTGAAGTTAAAACGATTTCTTTACATTATTGAAATTATTTCAAAGGTCATATGGAACAGCTGGGTTTGGGGGGGGGGGGGTAACGGGGAGTTAAAAACCCCGAGTTAAACACCCTGTAGATAGTGTTGAGAGGTTTGTGTAAGGATAGTAAGGTTGATGTAAGGTTGGTTTTAAGGTTTGTTTAAGGTTGGTATACGTTTGGTGAAAGGTTGGTGTAGGTTGGTATTAGGTTAGTGAAAAGTTTATGTAAGGTTGCTGTAAGGTTGGTTGAAAGGTTGGTGTAAAGCCTGTGGAAGGTTGGTGAAAAGTTGCTGTAAGGTTGATTAAAGTTGGTGAAATTTTGGTCTAAGTTAGTGTACGAATCATATAATGTTGGTGTAAGGTTGATGTAATGTTGGCGTAAGGTTGATGTAATGTTAGTGTACGATTGATGCAATTTTGGTGTAAGTTAGTGTACGATTGATGTTATGTTAGTGTATGATTGATGCAATTTTGGTGTAAGTTAGTGTACGATTGATGTAATGTTGGTGTAAGGTTGATGTAAGGTTGATGTAAGGTTGATGTAAGGTTGGAAGGAAACAAAATTTCCTGGGCCTTTATATTCCGAGAAGGATAATGCGAAGAAAAATAAGACAATATAGGCGAATAAAATTAAATATTGAAGTACAAAATATAAAGAGGATTATAACAGCAGGCTGACAGCCCCATGATTATGATTTACAGCTATACTATATCACATCGGCAGGTAGAGAGCAACAGCAATATGTTGTACCGACAACCTGACTATATCACATCTGCAGGTTGACAGAAAAAGGTTATGTTGTACCGACAGCCTGTCTATGGCACATAGCACATAGACAGCAACAGGGTTATGTTGTACCGACAGCTTGACTATATCAGTTCAGCAGGTAAACAGCAAGAGGGTTATGTTGTACCGACACCTTGACTCTATCAGCTCAGCAGGTAGACAGCAACAAGGGTTGTGTTGTACCGACCTCCCGTCTACTCTCGTCCGTAGCAGAGTTGAATCATTGTCTTCCTTGCATTGCCCCACTGGGAATCTGGTGGACACACGACACATTCAGTGGCGTAAGGTCCAGTGGTGTAATAGTTGAATGGACACTGGTGGCACTTGCCTCTAATCACGTCAAACCAGAAACTGACCCCACAGCCCCTGCAGGAGACAACTCTATGAAGGGCCAAGTCGGAGCCGATGGTGTTCGGGTATTGTTCACATGTAGCCTTCCATGATCCGAATTCAATAAAATTGAGTTCCGTCGATTCAACAGACCACTTGAGGAATAAATTGTCTCGGCCTTCATGAACGCCGAACATATCATTTTTGCGCACCTCAATCTCGTCAATGTAAGCCGAGACGTTGGACTGCGGTGTGTAAGGTGCGTCGATCGTGAACGTTACATCGGCCTGGAACGGCATCCTCCTCGGGTACATTTTATTGGTATCGCATCGCACCCGAGGAGTTGTCCACGTGCATCTTTGAGAAAGGGAGCAGATCTTATCAGCAGACTGGAAGAGTCTGCTTCGTATCTTGATGACCTCTCCCACTAAATCAAACGAACAGCTTCGTAACGTGTACACGAGCAGAACCGGCACGTGGATGCTGTCGGGTATTTTCACAGGGATGCAATCAGGGACATGGACGTTATCAAAGTCGTAGTTTTTCTCCTCCGGGTGGCAGAATAAAACCCCGCCATCTCCAGGGGCGTTCAGCGGCAGATCGGTTCCGGGGACGGGACACGTCAGCGAGACGCTGAACCGACCAGAGACCTTGAAATGGCCATTCAATGGAAGTGGGGGCAAAGAGACGCATTTCAACTGCTGAGCCGCAGAACTGTAGGATATTTTTAGTAGGGCGAATGAGCAAACCAACGCTAAAGTCGGCATGGAAACAATTAAACATGCCATTGTTTTAAGCTGAGATTTCACCGTGAGTTCGATTACGTTTAATTTAAACAACTGTTAAGTCTTTGGTTTTAAGTTTTTTATACATGTTTTTTTTATATATATATCAGTTAAGCAGATATTTTAAAGAGCACAAGACTTCTGATTGTTACGTAGTGATTGGATCATTCAGCACCCACAACATGTGCGCATCTATTGAGGGTTCTAAATGGTGTGCAATGTTTGGTAGGAATAAATTACAGTTTTCAGGCGATGCGAAAATATCTAATTATCTACAATGACCAAAATGTTAATATTTCAATTTGAGTGATTTCTAGAAGCAAGTTGTTGTTGAATTGGTGTTTCATGGTCACATGCATTTCTATTTGTCACGATTAATTAAAACATTACCTTAAGGTCAGCAATGCATTGTTTATTGTTTAAGAATAATAATAATAAATAAATCTCCAGCTTTTACCCAACGTAAATTGGGATAGATTAAAATTGTTAATTCTTTAAATTAGTTGAAGCCATTTGTCTTTGATTAGTCTTTATGATTTATAATGAATGGAGTAACTGGTGAATTATTTTAGGTGAGCAATGTCCCTTTTTTTTAAATTTTTAATGTCGTCAAATCTTGAATCTCAATTTTGACCCACTTCCTAATCACCAGTTGAACTGAACGCTAGTACACTTACCCGCCCCTCGCTGACACTACAGCCCTTCATGATCAGTAGGTCACCAGTGACACCCCCCCCCCCCCTTTGCCCCTTGGGACCTTCTGCGGGTATCTCAATAGAGAAGAGTGATAGTGACATCAGGTATTCACTACAGCGTTTCCTTATGCATGGTGACTCGTTCCCGATAACAGTTAACAAGTATGAACTCAATATTATTTGCAAATCACAAAGACATGCACGCAACGGTATCGCTAATTTAATATGCACCATAACAACTGTCTCACATTAAACTTACTGGCAGCATTGCAAACGTATTTTATGTGTCCAAAATTGTATATGTCAATCCATACGATATGAGCTTTTTTAGTCTGACTGTAACAACTCAGAAATTTTGGGGGACATTAAGGAGCTCAGTTTGCAACTGGTGATAAGTCCGTTTTTTTTAAAAAATGAGTTAGTGCCCTTTTCTAAATCTATTGTTTTACATACACATTTTTAATCTCTCATCTTAACGTTCTGAAGGCTCTAAATGCCTTTATTTGAAATAGAAAATGTATAGCAACCTTCAAAAGGCTAGTTAAGTTGTAACACAAAATTCACTTTCCTGAAAAATGAGTTTGGTTGGACTTAGTACTTTTAGCTCGTTTTAGGAAAAGCATGTTTTTTTTAAAAGTATTTTTAAAATATTGTTTAATTAATTTTAAATTTAGATTCAAGGCAATTTGATATCGCTTTAAAATGTTGAAAATTTGAAATAAATTTAAAAAATGAGATTTGTGCGTTTTGAAAAAAAAAATGTCCAGAATTTAAATTCAATTTACTGAAATGAATTGCCAAATCCAAATTTGGACTTACTTTAAATAAGAAATCAATTTTAAACAATTTATAGCAATTTAAATATATTTAAATACTAATAAGACTGCATTAGAAAGTCACTCTGACATGCAAGTAAACCCAATCTATCACGAAAGATGTGGCACCCACCGGACGGCCTTGCATCAGCACGTCGAGTTTTAGACAGGGAATTCCCGCTATTTCACGAAAAAGCTTTCCAAAGAAACATGGACATTGTTAATTTCAAGTAATTGGACCCTGGCCACACCTCTCAGCCAAAGTTACCAAAGAGCGGCCCCAATTCGGGTAATTTTGAGGACCTCTGTTAAATCAACGTTCCCCACATTCCTCTCTACTTGAGCATTTATTAACTAGTTCAGGCTCTGGGTCAGATTGTCGTGGAACTGGCTTATTTGGTAATTTATCAGCTTTATTTCAGAAAAAAGAACGATTATCACACGAAAAGGAAGACAGGCTTATCACGTGAGTCTCATCAGCAAATGTTACTTCTCAAAATGGGCATTTAAGACATTTTCGAAACTTAGTAAAACTATAAAGATCACCAGGGCATTGGCGTGGTATAATCGAAAGGGATCAACAGAAACTGAAATTGACATGACATAAATATAAAATATATATATTTTTAAGTGTGAAACGTCGACTTAAAAAAACAAACAAATATGATCAGATTATTCCCTCCCAAAATTTATAAAAATGCAAAACTTCAATTCCAGTCTTTTCCTAGGGATTCCATTCACCCATTTTAAAGCTTTTTGCTAATTTTTTGCTCGTGCACAATTTTTATGAGCAAAAATATTTGTAAAAAAAAATAGTTTTATACTTTTAGAAATTTATTCAGTTTACTTTTGGTAATCAAACTATTCCGAGAATGGAGCGGAGTAGCAAGCCACCTTCGAACTCGCCCTGACCACTAACCCCAACCCCCAACTGGATGACTAGATGATCATAGTCGATCTTGACGGACGGAATAACAAAAGACCCCTGGGGTCAGCACCAAACTAGTCTTATGGTTTTGTTTTTCTGGGGTTGAGCCCCAACCTACAAGGATGTGTGTCATCTCATTTTGTCTACCACCAACCCACACAGTCAGTCTCATGGGTCATCAAAATGGAAATGAACAACATTTTTAATTGATGACAACTTACAAGGTTCATATCAATAAATTGTTTAAAAAAAAGGTATAGTCAAAAGTTATTGTTGTGCCTTGCCATTAATATTGTGGAGAGTTCGGATCACGACGGCGACCGGCCGTCTGACAGGTACAGCCGGCGCCAGCTGACCAGAGATCACGATCGACGGATCAAGCCATCTGACCAGGGCATTTACCTGGGACGTCTGGTCTGTTTGTAGCCTGGCGCCAATTGAGAAAAAGGGGCGGGGTATAATGCGCAGTCCAGACCTGGGAGAGGAACTATAGGACAGGGTAGTATAAATAGGGATCTCTGGACGGGACGAGGGAGAAGGCGGCCGGACTGAGAACTAGATAGCAGGGAGAAGTCAGAGTTGTGAGATGAGAGAAAGAGTAAGCAAGGTGACAGCCCAATAAAGAACACGAGTTTAATCATCAAATGTTATCGCCGGAGTTGTTTCCTTATTGAGTACCAGATCTAGATGAAGTTTATCAGAGAGTAAGCAAGGTTTCCTTACAATATGGACCAATTAGAAAAGATGACAAACCTAAATTCAGCGTGATGGCTGTTAGGTTTGTTTACTTTGCCTCGTACTTAATTGGTGTTATCCACCTGTGCCGATAAGAATCCCTTCTAAAAGTAACATTCATTCATAATCTTCTGATTAGTTATCAAACATATTTAATACATTTGGCACTAATAGAGTTTGTCATTTCTTCTTCTTCTCTTCTATATATTAAGGACCCACGATCAATTATTCGATCATTCTGGCTCCTATGCATGTAGAGGGGATTTGCAATGTTTCTATGCCTGGTGCTGATGAGGATATTTCACTGATTGCAAGGGCTACTTAGTGAGGGGATCATGCACGAGCGGTTGGAAGGCCTGAATCAATAGACGAAAATGTGTCAAGTTTTGTCGCCACAACTATTCTTTTTGGATTGTCTTTGGCCGGAATTAGCAGTTCCTATACTGGCTTCTCTCTGGTATGAGCCGGAACTGCCAGTTATGGCCTCGTCGCTTTCTATGTGGGAGAGGGACGAGTTTCTGTTTAATGCTGGAGCAGTGGACCAGCCCATTATTTATCTTTTACATTATGGAGAGCCTGAAATGTCGTCATCGCTCCTCCAAAAATAATAATAATAAAGTTTATTTGAATATCACGCTTCATCTCCAAAGGCTCGAAGAGCGGTACAAAGTCAATCATATTAAAATAGAAATGAAACAATCTATATTTTACCACAGGGAAATATAAAATACAAGAATATCCATTCTAAGTCTTTGATCCCTTCAACCATAAACAGCACAAGTCAATATACATCTAGGAGACAATAGCTAGCTGGAAAAGATGGTTAGCAGGTGTTTGCGAAATAGATGTGTTTTTAAAACTGTTTTGAAAGACTCCAGTGTATGGCTGTTTCTGAGAACGACAGGAAGTGTGTTCCAAATTGTTGGGCCAGCAAATTCGAAAGTGAGCCTTCCGTAAGTGTCAAGGCGAACACATGGTATCGTGAGTTTGCCACTATCGGATGAGCGGAGTTGTCTAGTGGGTACATAAATCGTCATGAGCGCTTTGAGTTAGCACGGTGCCAGGTCATGCAAATAGTGACAAGCCCAGTGTTACTAGCATTCTGCCAACACAAGAGGTGTTCCTGTAGCGGTTCAGGACAAAGCGTGCTGCCCGTCGCTTGACCACCTCCAACCTGTTGATGCTCTTCTGGATAAATGGGTCCCATGGGTCCCAGACTGAAGATGCATAATATATATTCACACTAGAGTCGCTGATCTTTAGATTACACCTTAAGAACCCTAGTGTGTTGTTTGACTGGTTGCACACATTGTTAATATGCTCGTCCCAGCTGACCTCTCATTGAACGGTAACACCCAGGTAGCTTACGAAGGAAACTGGCTCAAGTATGACCATGCAGCTCGTGATGGCAGTGTAAAGGAGTACAACGTCTAGAGACTGACAGTGACTGGCACTTGGCAGGATGAAATTCCATGTCCTGGCACATTTGAACTCAGCTAACCGATTAAGATCCTGTTAAAGCTGGTCCTGGTCAGATCTGTTTGCGATCGTCCTATACACTGCCGTGTCATCTGCGAACAGTCTTGCTTGGGATGTCAGTTTGTCCGGTAGGTCATTGATTTTGCTAAAAAAACAGGGGCCTTGCACTGAGCCCTGAGGGGCACTGACTTGACATCGACAAAGGAAGAGCTTGCACTATCCACAACTTGTGCCAGGCATCGGCTGCTGAGGAAGCTAGAGATCCATGTTTTAGTGGTGTCTTTGATCCAATATTTTTGAAGATTGTGTACAGTAAACTATGAATGACACGGTCAAATGTCTTTGAGAAGTTCATCACTGGCACGTCAGTTTGCTTGTTCTCCAGATTGGTCATCAAGTCTTCTACAAATTTAAGGATCTGTGTCTCACATGATCCACGTTGACAGTCAGTGAGTATATTTTGGCTTCCAAGATGCACCATGACTGCGCTAACGATTATGTGCTCCAACAGTTTGCACACTACGCTGCTAAGGGATATTGGACGATAGTTGGCAGGGTCGAAATGTTCCTCTTTCTTGTATATTGAAGTGACTTGCGCTGTTCTTCACTCTGCTGGAGCATCGCCTGTGCACAGCGACGATTGGAAGAGGAATGTCGGTGCAGGAGCGATTTCTTTTGCTAATGCTTTGAGCACTCAAGGTTTGATTTTGTCAGGTCCACATGCTTTATAAGGGTTAATGGTTATGAAGAAGGCAAGCACACCCTGCCCTGAAATCTGGATATCTTCCATGACGGGGTAGGCTCTGTTCATCATGTTCGTCTTCAGAAGGAAATCAGCCTGCGAGTACTCTCTACCGTCACCAAAGACAGACTGGAACTGTTGATTGAGTATGTCCGCCTGTGCTTTTGGGTCAGATGTCGAATGGCCATCCCACCTCAGTAGGGAAACTCCAGCGTTTGAGAACTTTTGGTGCTTAACATAGCTCCAGAAGCGCTTGTTCTTGACACACTTGGTCGGAGAGTCTTTCTCCGAGATTTCTAAGACCGGAAAGCGTCACATCGCATTACGTAAAGTTACTATTTTTAGACAATGTTTTCGTTAAAAAATATAGTTTCTAACAATTTATTTCCGCACATAAGTAGAATTAAAAATTTGTTTGTAAAATCGTTCGTAAAATAAAGTTGTAAAGGCGGTTTCATCTAGGTTAAGACCCACGTTAACTTAGTACAGAACAGCTGTTGAGAAATAGGCCAAACGGAATACCAGGGTGTTTTTTTTTTTAATATCTTGATGAGATTTGCCAGACGGAAGGCCCAGGTGTTCTATTTATAGATTTACGCCATTAATGACTAACGCTATACTGTTTACATGACCTCCAGCCACATTCCATCCTAGTTTATCTCTGTGTTCTTATAACGTGCTACACATTTAACGCTTTGAAGTCGGCAATAATTTATTTGAACAAGGATCTTATTCACCAATGCTTACACGCGTCTAAGTTTCAAAACTGCATTCACGAATTGTGCTTCTTTCGTGTTGGTTAACAACTGAAAAGTAAGTCAGCGCTATTGTATGTGGCGGTTTATTTGTGACAAATGAACGCAGCTGTACAGAGAGTCAACGCCATCCGGGAAAGTTTACATCTGTTCTTCTTGCTTGAAACTCCCACTTTTGCCACCGGCTGTCAGAACAAAGTGTCAGTGATATGTTGTCATCGTTGATGCCTGGGGTCAAACATTTCCCAGTCGGAATGTGATGAATTGTCTTGTCCTGAAAAAATAAAGCAGGCATTCTTTAAAGAATCGTAAATCTTCACTAGAGATTAATTGTCATAAGGCTTGATAGTTATATTCTCAAGCTTGCTAGCTATGTCATGAAGCGCGCTAGTTATGTCATCAAACTTTATAGTTATTTCATAATGGATGCTAGTTATGTCATCACGTTTGCTGGTTATGTCATCAAGGCTGCTAGTTATGTCATCACGCTTGCTAGTTATGTCCTTTAAGCTTGCTAGTTATGTCATCAAGCTTGATAGTTATGTCATCTTGCTTGCTATGTCATCAAGTTCACTGCTTATGCTGTATAAGCCCCCAAAACACTTAAATTAATTGCTTTTTAAAAACTTGTATAGTTACTTCACTTTTGTTTGTGGGTGGATGGTTGCCTGGCAAATTCTTCGGATTGCTAATTCCCATCGACCTATCGAACTGAGACTTGGCACATAGACTCATTGTCGATGACAATACATCCTTGTCAACTTTTCCGCATGTGTGCATTTACTTTTACATATGTGCCTTTTCTTTTACATGTGTGCATTTACTATGACATGTGTATTTACTTTTACATGTGTGCATTTACATGTCTGTATTTACTATGCCATGTGTGCATTTACTATGCCATGTGTGCATTTACTTTTACATGTGTGCATTTATTATGCCATGTGTGCATTTACTGTGACATGTGTGCATTTACTATGTCATGTGTGCATTTACTTTTACATGTGTGCATTTACTTTTACATGCGTGCATTGACTATGTCATGTGTGCCTTTCGAAAGGTTAAGTTGAACAAAGACGCACACCCCTGGGAACACACCTGCCTGTACTGCCAGGTGGGACCAGTATTTAAACATCCAGAGCTACTCATTACGGCACCATTCACCAGACAAATCAACCATTCGTCCTGGGACAACTTTCCCTCCTCAGTGAGGTACCAAAACTGATTGTAGCCCTGATTGTGACAAGGGTACATCTTGGGGGCTGGCTGACTGGCCGATGGTCCACCCATGCTATCGACACATCTAGGGGCTGCAAAGTTACGGACCTGTGGATAAGTGGTCAAAATTAATGTCAGTCATAACATTTTTTTCCTTTCCAGTTAGCTACTGCATCTACCCAGTTAGTTAATGCCTCTATCCAGTTAGTTGCTGCCTCTACCCAGTTAGTTACTGCCTCTATCCAGTTAGTTGCTGCCTCTACGCAGTTAGTTACTGCCTCTATTCAGTTAGTTGCTGCCTCTACCCAGTTAGTTACTGCCTCTATCCAGTTAGTTGCTGCCTCTACGCAGTTAGTTACTGCCTCTATCCAGTTAGTTGCTGCCTCTACCCAGTTAGTTACTGCCTCTATTCAGTTAGTTGCTGCCTCTACCCAGTTAGTTACTGCCCCTATCCAGTTAGTTGCTGCCTCTACCCAGTTAGTTACTGCCCCTATCCAGTTAGTCGCTGCCTCTACCCAGTTAATTACTGCCTCTATCCAGTTAGTCGCTGCCTCTACCCAGTTAGTTACTGCCTCAAATCAGTTAGTTGCTGCCTCTACCCAGTTAGTTACTGCTTCTATTCAGTTAGTTGCTGCCTCTACCCAGTTAGTTACTGCCCCTATTCAGTTAGTTGCTGCCTCTACCCAGTTAGTTACTGCTTCTATTCAGTTAGTTGCTGCCTCTACCCAGTTAGTTACTGCCCCTATTCAGTTAGTTGCTGCCTCTACCCAGTTAGTTACTGCCTCTACCATTTTCGAATATCAACGATTGACATAAGTGAGTACAAAAATTATCGTTACATTTTATTCACATTTTTCTTAATGATTCATTCACGACCCGTATTGATGCATATTGAAATAACGCTACGTAGAAAATGCAGTAATTTGTATGTTATAATCATTCAAAAGGTGTTTGGTGCCTTTAAAGGAAATCGCCTTTTTACCGACGTTATACTTATATATTTAAAAAAGTATACAAAAAAAAATATCTATTAAAAAGTAAAGATAAATAGAAAAGCATTTTTAAAATTTATCATTGCAAAATTTAATCTTAATTTGTTTTATTTTTTTTTACCAAGAATCAATTACAGAAAATTACTCACAAGAAATAGTAGTTATTATTTAAATAAGACATGGTTTTTTTTCATCAAAATTAACTTTAAAAAGTGTTAGGTATGTAAGTAAACTCTTCTGCAATTAAATTGTTACTTGGCTCCCATTTATTACTACGGTAGATCATGTCATTCGCACGGTTATTGGTTTTTACAAGAATGACCTACTTACTTCCCCTGCGTACTTGACTTTTGAAGGAATGACAATATTGGGGTAAACATTCTGTAGGTACCATTCAAAAGATTTACACCCAAGTCTGCGCCGTAGTTCCCTCCTGTCTGTTACATTGCCGTAATCTCCCTTTAAAGGATAAATGATCAATATAAACCAATTATTAAAAAAGTTTGATCAGATATCTATTTCTTATCACCTGGGGAAAGACATTCAGAGATAAAGATCTTCATTTTTTTTTTTCAAAGATATTACAGCTTCAGGTTAAATACCGTCGTTTTGACGCGAGCCAGTCTATGTGGCGTTTCATATTGACTCTTTCATTTTGGGATTTTATATAAATTTTCGGTATTTTGTCCAAATCAATATTTCCACATCCTCTTCAAGTGTTTACATTTTTAAAACGTGCAAGGAATTCGTTTTTTATCGCAATTTTACTAGAGAACTCATGAAATATTGTCTGTGGTCACCTAGGGGCAACAAAATTACTGCTTCAAAACGTGGATTTGACCTACGGACACTAATAGATAATCCGAAATGTTATAGCGTGTCAAGACAACAAATGTACGTACGAGATTATAGAGAATTCTCTCATAAAAGTAGTTCTTGTAATCATCCATCCACACCTCAGCCACCCGGATGGAGTTCTTGTTGCCAATGTTCTGGGTCCATTTGATGGGGTTGGTTCGACGAAATATATGACCGATGTGTGAGCAGGGAATGAGCTCTACGCTACCACCACACATCCAGGCCTAGAGAATAGAGATGACATATAAACCACACATAGAGGCCTAGAGAATAGAGATATGACATACAATAACACACATCCAGGCCTAGAGAATAGAGATATGACACATGATACCACACATCCAGGCCTAGAAATTAGAGATACGACATATAATGCGACACATCCAGGCCTGGGGATTTAGATATGAACTAAGTAAAATTCAACGAAATTATTGATAGCTGTTTTTTTTAAATCTCACCTTAAATGAAAGTTCAATATTTTCTCCTCCCCAATAGTCAAGGCCTGGATCATAGGTTCCCAACCTCTCGAATAAATCACGGCCAATCGCAAAAAGCCCTCCAGGCATTGTAGGAGACCTGAGTGAGCATATTGTAAGGTGATGTTACAGAATTCATTGTATTATGTTAAAAGCTATCAAACGTCTCTAACATGTTATTTATACTCTTTAAATTTATTCTAAACTATTTTAAAATACTTTACAAGGTTCATCCAAACATTTGATAGATTTTATACAATGAATCTTTTACATCAGTGACTAGATGAACCTGGATCAGCCAACGCATGTTCCCACATTCATACATACTTTCATACACACATTACTACATACATTCATGCATACATTCATGCATACATTCATACACAGTTCCATACACACATTCATACACACATTCATACACACATCCATACACACATCCATACACACATCCATACACACATCCATACACACATTCATACACTCATTCATACACACATCCATACACACATTCATACACTCATACATACACTCATACATACACAGATTCATACACACATTCATACACATATTCATACATACATTTATACATACACACATTCATACACACATTCATACATACATTTATACATACATTCATACATTCATACATACATCCATACATACATTAATGCATACACTCGTACACACATACGTTCATACGTGCATTCAAACATTTAAATACACTGAGAGGTAGCAACATAATGTTCTCATAATTTATTACGCAAAGAAAATCTCCGCAGAAAATAGTTTCTAGAATTTGAAGAAAAAGCCACCATTTAAGCATCTTCTCCATTTCATTTGAATCCTTAGGCTTTATACTCTCCCTTGTATTTGCCTTCTGCCAAAATCTTCTTTTGTGTCATGAATTTTAAGAAATTTTAAGGATATTATTTTTCTACCATCTAGTGCGTTTTAAATGAGAAATTTGATAAAAGGTTTTTTATTATTAAATAAATGTTGTTTTTTGTTAAATATCCCCCCCCCCCGCCCCACGAATATAAAAGAAATGTAAAAATGTATATCATTGAGATAAACCTTGGAGAAATGATCTCAGTGGAAGAGACCGCTATCTCCCCCCCCACCCCCCAAACTGGTTACACTACAGTTCGTAAATACATACACATTGTTCACACACGCTTACAAACAAATGTTCACATAAGTACACATTTAACTTTTCACTCACAAACACAAGTTCCCTAACTCATTCATAATCACAACTGATACTACCTGTAAGATCTAGGTCAAATATTGACTTCATATTGAAACCAAAAATAACAATGAGAATTTAATTAATAGAAGATGATGTTCCTTCCTTAGTACAATTCCTTAGGAGACTAATTATGTGCAGCCAACCTTGTGTAGATATTTCTGCATGTGCAGAAGCTACATATCGAGGCCAGAAAAAAACATATACTTATTTTGATCATCTATTGTCAATTCTGTAGACGCGCGAATTTAATAGAACGAACCGCAAAGGTGCGTATCAGTGACCTTTCATGGCACAGGTGCGTGACCTTCATCGCGTACGTGCATATCAGTGGCATTTCATGGCACCCGTGCGTATCTGTGACATTCACGACACAGGTGTGTATCCGTGACCTTTCATGGCAAGGTGTGTATCATTGATCTTCATGGCACCTCCTCGTCGTTGCGATAGAACAACAGACGAAAGACGGCCAGCTGGTGTCAACTGTACACAAAGAGTTTTTTTCTTACCGGCATGTTGGGAACGGGGGAGGGGATGAACGTCTGACAAGACTTGAGCATCAATCAAGAGAGTTCGTTGAGACGGACTCAAAACGTTATCCGGCCGCTCCGTTTCAGGGCAGTCTTAAGACTGTGCTCTGTGCCTTTGCTGGGATCCGGGTTCAATGATCCCCCCCCACCCCAGAGGTATCCTGTGTCAGCCGCACCACATTATTATAAGGACTACACTGAGCCATGACACGGGCAACATGCCGTGAACATATATCACCTAAGTGACAATATGCTTGGATATAATTTAAAGTAGATTTAATGTCCTTCGCAAGAGAGTCTCTACATTCCCTCCTTGAACGAAACGAGATTTAATATAAACCTATTTGACAACCGTGTTCAATTTTCATTGTGGTGATAGCCGGCCCACATAAGAGTTAAGTAAAAATGAGCTTAAATATTGGACTTAAATCTAATTCTAATTATGCATTAAAGCAGCTGATATATCTATCTATCTCTCTATATGTGTACATTATGTATGCACATGTTGAACATTTGTTGAAGATGGACAGCCAAATTCCTGGCAAGGATGATTTTTTTTTTAAAAAGCAAGAATGGAAGTAGAGTTTTTATTTTAAAAAGCTTCAAATTTTGATTCTGAGTTGTGGAGTCGGAGATGATATTCAAAAATGCAAGCTTTCAATTATTTCCAACTCTAGCACGATCTTTACAGAATATCCATAAGACATTATGGTGACCGTCGTGTTCCATTTTGATCACCCGATTTCAATACAAACAAAATGCCTGAAATTACGTTCCGTCTCCACAACCCTCAGTTTGAAAAACGTAAAGCACAAGGAGTTAATAAAATAACGTCTATAATTTAAAAAAAACAAAACCTTATTGGGTCTGCATCACTTTTTCTTTTGGACGTTTCAAACTCGGGGATATTTTGCCACTGGAATGTGAGGTCCTTAAACCGGAAAATGCCGTTCTGGTTCACGTTTTGGTTGGAATGCGTGGCCAGAGTTTCGTCGTCAATAACCTCAATGCTCGGGAAGGCTACCACGTTGGGGTCTACGCCTATCCGGGCACTTAGGGGTCCTGCCCACTCTGCGGGTAGCACATGAAATAAACGTAGCATAAGAAATTAACGGTTTAGTGGTGTGGGTGGCCTTATCGGATCATCCTTGAATGAATTGATCGCACAGTTACAGCTAATGGCAAGTAGGGATGAGTCAGGAAACCTACAGCACGTAACATATAAATTATGAGTTCAAGCTACACAACCTCTTCAATGTAGAACAAATGCCCATGACATTTTTTATTTTTTTTTACTACCATTTTTTCCCTCAAACATTTCATTATAATTCTCTATACATTTTATGAGTATTTCCACAGAACAGATCAGCGACATTCTTACCATAATGTTCAATAAGAGCTGTTCCAGATTTCACTTTTTTTTTTAAATCATCTTTTTTCCCCATTATGTCAACTTTACCTGGGAAACATTCTATGTGGGAGTCCAGGAATACAAGAACAGGGGCAGTAGACACAAAGTAGCCAAGGAGCCGAGCTCTGGTCAGACCTTGGCGCTTTGTGGCTCTCACAATAACAACTTCTGGATATGCGTTAAAATATTTCTCCAGTGGAGCTTTCAGATATTCTGGAGATGATTATAATTTTAACATGTGAAAACCACTGGTTTATGAGCATATTGGCCGTGAACAAAATAGAAAACGTATTTTACTAATAATTATTTATTTTTTTAAAAAAATCAAAGACACCCTTTGCTCTATTTTGCCTTTGTTAATCTTTGTCCTCCTTCATTTTCCTTTTAGATTTTTTAAAAAATTATCCCCCAATTTTATTTTTGCATCACAGTCAGTTAAAAGACCATCCTCTTTTAAGCTGTTAGTTTAATGAAATAAAAAGTACTATTATTGCTTTACACATTGGGGGGGGGGGGAGGAGGGGAGGGACATTTCGTATTTAGAGCATTTAAGAACTGTCCGAATTCTTCTTGTTAATTTAAATTTATTTCTAAGCCAATTTTGTTTAAGCCGCCAGATAAAATTTACTAGGACTGATTTAATGATGGCAGGTACATTTCCAGTAAAATTCGGTGGACCAATACAATCGGAGCCAGTCCTGTGACTAACCTTTGGTAGAAAAATCATCAACAAGAATTATTTCCCGTAACAATGTCTTTGGTGTTCGGCTCAAAATACTGTGGACGGATCTGAGTAGCACGGACCACGCCTCGTTGTGGAATATGATAATGACGCTGATTTGAGGCAGCTCCGCCTTGAAACTTTGGGCCTGATCTCGACAACTTTGAAAACAGCATTTCAGAAAATCAATGAGTTACAGTCATCATTATTCTTCAGCTAATTGTTCATGTGCTTACTATCTAACCTCTAAACTTATCAAGGAAACGATATAAACAAAGTGAGTGCATAGTTGCACTTTGATAAAAAGTGTGCATTAAAAAAAAGACATTTACTATGCACCGCGGCCGTCTGGGAGGCCTCTATAGACGGATATCATGTCGCTGGCGTACTGGTTGAAGCTGTTGTCCGACCAGCCTGCATCGTACTTGGACTTTTCCACCTCCGATAATGTCTTCGCATCGACGACGACACCTCCACCGCCTTCGCCTGGTAGAAAGAAAACATCGTCAATTGAAATGCCCCGTTATCCTGCATTTTATTTCAGTTTCAATCAACAATCATGCTTTGAAACAAACTGTGTGTATACAATTCAATGTTTTAATAATAAATACACTGAAATTTAGACATAATATTTTTTTTTCTTTTGTAGCTTGTCACTATCCCCCTTGTAACTGTGAAAGTGACATAACAAAGTCAACGTCTTCACAGACGTATGCATTTTTCAGCGACTATTCACATTTAAAAAATATCTTATGTTGTTGCTGTAGACCCAGCATTATTCGCACAACTATTGTATTAGGGATTAGAGAGGTCAGCCCTAACGTTTCCAACTAATAATGAGTATAAAAATGTTGGACTGTTCAAGAGTTTTAAGCCCTTATAATGGCTCTCCCAGCGTTAGTCTCGCTCAAGGTAAACATGTTTCCGTATCCACAGTTGGGAATGATAAATGGGAACAAAACATTTTGAACACAATTATCTTTGACCACCTGTCACCAAGCAGTGTCTCCACTTGCCAAGCTAGATGCATTATTAATAAAGCCCATGTGCATGAGTCATTTAAGCAGACAAGCGCCTCCTTTACACGACCTGTCGTTTCTAATCAGATAACGTGTAAAAATAATTTATCTGCTGCATTTTGTGTGAGAGGAAATCTGCATAAGTTTAAAGGATTGTTTACGTCAAATTATACAAGTTGAATACGGAACATGGAACTCTTTTTTTTTTTTTTTTTTTTTTTTTTTTTTTGTTTTTTTTTTTTTTTTTTTTTTTTTTTTTTTTTTTTTTTTTTTTTGGGGGGGGGGGGGTTACCAAATTAAAAAATAGCTCATACCATTTCTATTTCGTATACCTACAAAAAGTGTGTTATGTAATGTCCTAGAACCAGGGCCATAGAGTGGATTTTGTGCCCCCCTCCCCCACGCCCCCGTGGCTGGACGGGGTCTGAGTTTTTTATGGGGCCAAAATTTATGATGTGAAAATAAATAAATGTTTTAACTTGCAGGATTCTCCGCAATCTGGCAGAGGGCCTCCATAAGTGGCAGAGGGCTTCCATAAGTGGCGGGGGGCTCTAAAAGTAGCAAGGAGGCCTCCAAAAGTCACGTGGCGGCACTTACTCGAACTAGTCTACTCTTGCACCCTCACCTGGACCAGATGGGTCACGCTTGGCGTTGAAGGGAGGTAACTCGGTACCATCAAACACAGCTGCTGGTCTCTTTTTGACCAGGATTCCTCCCATTTCTGCCAGCTTGTCCATCTGTTGACCTTGACTTTCCTTGCCTTCATGAAACTGGCCGATTCCACGCGCACGTTCCTGACCAACCCATCCCTCCCCGACCACGGGTGCGGCCTGGCCATCTCCATCTACTTGATCTCGTCTGACGTTTGAATCGCTCACTCGGAACCCATAGAAACGCTGACCTCTGGCTGCACTCAAGTCTCCATCTGACGCATCACTGGGCACCATAAAAATCCTGGCCAGACTGTACACGAGCCAGAGTACTGGCAGCAAGATGAGAGCTCGCTTCAGCAGACGGTAAACGTGTGATCTCCTCATGACAGTAGAACCAAAAAAAAACAACAAACAACCAAACTAACGATTCAGAAACTTCGAGTCTAGGCTTCCATTAGTCCTGTGTTATGAATTAGAACCTGTGTGGTCAAGCGACCGTCTCTACAGAAGAGTTGATATTGTAGTATCCCACAGATCTCAGTGATGAGTGTATAATGAACCTGAAAAGTAAGATTGATGGATTCAGAAGACATTAACCAAAAATGTTTCTTTTCTTGTAGACTAATAAATAAAATATATTTACCTTACATCTCGTTATTGATATATTCTATTCTGTAGCAGGTTTTCTCAACCTGGGGTTGAATTTCAAGGAGTGCGATGAAACGTGATGATAGCAATAGCGGATCCTTTTGACCTTTAAGACACGACATAATTTGTATCATGTCTTATAATATATATCATGTCTTATAATGTATATCATGTCTTATAATGTATATCATGTCTTATAATGTATATCATGTCTTATAATGTATATCATGTCTTATAATGTATACCATGTCTTATAATGTACATCATGTCTTATAATATATATCATGTCTTATAATGTATATCATGTCTTATAATATATATCATGTCTTAAAATATATATCATGTCCTATAATATATATCATGTCTTATAATATATATCATGTCTTATAATATATATCATGTCTTATAATGTATATCATGTCTTAAAAGTCAAAAGGGTCCTCTGTTCCAATCATCACAATATATTCTTTACGTTTTTTTTTTCCTTCATAAACATATTACGTTATGCATTAAGTGTCAATATGTATTTTCAGAGTTCCTCCCTTCTCTTTTCTATTGTATATACGAGATTAAACTACTCTTAAAAACAGTTGGTTTTTTTTCTAATAAATCCTTTATATGCATTTTTGTTTGCATTTAATTTCTGTCATTGTATGTGATTTATCATATATATGATTGTAGCAACTGATTTTTTTTATGGGAGTGGTCTTTATCAAACTTAGTGCGTGTGAAACCTAATAGACTAAAGATACATTTAAACCCAAATAAGTCACAAGTACAAAGCACATAGCCACAGCTACACAATTAATGTTCACACCAAAACACGGAACCATTGCACAACAACTTAATATTCGTGTCCATTGAAAAACAGGAAAAACTGATTTTTTTTTTTATTGCAAAGTTTCAGCTCGATAGAAGGGCAGGAAGTGGGTCAATTAGAATTCCGAAGATTTCCCCCCCAAAAAGAAAGAAAAAAAAAAAAAAAAAGGAAAGAAAGAGAAAGAAAGAAGCAAAGAAGAAAAGCTACGTTATTATGAAGGATTTAAAAAATATCTCCTTTTGTATCTAATTTGTCAATACTTTGTATGTTATGTAGCCGGTCCGAGACTTTTTCAAACAATCAAATGGGAAATTTCAATGCCGGGCTGAATGCCTCACTACAAACTTGATTTCAAACCATCTGAGCTTGTCAACAAATAAGTATCTAGAGATTTCTGTTTTCTTTCATCCATTCGGTACCAACATGATTCATTTTAGATTCAACGCCTTTGATATAGTTCCTTTAACTGGCATGTTACCAGATAAAATAAATGATTCAGAATGGGTTGCTTGCATCATCGGGCTGGTTGACATAATATAACAAGCGATTCCTTTCAACTAAAATTTATAGTATATCATTTGAGAAAAATCTAAGTACAAAAAATTCAACGGTGGAGCTGGTCTAAAACTTTAAAATTCCCTAATTTTCATTAAATTTAAGATATAATTTAAACTTGACAATTCTGAGCTGTTAAAACCAGTTGCTACTAAATGAAATATTTAAACATTATTTTCGCTCTCTTTTGAATTCTTTTTTAACAAAAATAATAATAATAATTATAAATAACTTATTATCTTTAAATGTTAGCCTCAAAATAGTTTTGATAGGACACCATAGCTATAATATCAATTACATCTTTAGTAGAACCCGGTTATGCCGACGGCCTCGGTGATAGCGTCGAGATAACCGACGATCGAGATAAACGAAAAACAATATGGCGGAAATATATTAACATGTGCTTGAGATTTCTTTATGTAAATGATGTGCGTTAATAAATGTCGGTAAATCAGTAACAAGAAAAAAATACCCATAAGTTTTTAAATATTACATTTATTTATAGCAAATTTCAAATAAAAATTAATGAAACCAGAATAAACGTTTTCGCTTTTGCACATTATGGGATACGATTTTTAAACGTTCGAGTTGGTTTGGTATTTTCTACTATGGACGAAGCCTCCACATTTTGTGACCTCATTCTGCTGATCGCGTCATACGCAATATCTATATAGTTTATATAAGTATATATATATATATATATAAAGTGGTCGGAAAACTCATTAGTCAAAAGTGCCAAAAATCAGCAGCAGGACAATTGTAAAGAAAGTCTGAGCCGAATTTCTTTTCAAGAACCTCTCAAGAACCATGTTTTTCGGAGCCAAACCCGATTTGTGGTCGACTGGGCGAGCCGCACTCATGATGTTAAACAGCCGCATGCGATGGGATCGCGAGCAACGATTTTCCTACCACTGGTATAAGACAACGCATCACCTCATTAAATACTATTTAGGGACTAGGGGTTGCAACCCGGGATCCCGAATCTCGAAAATACCAGAATACCGGACCATAACGGATGCTCAAAGAAACCGGGATCGGATTTATGAAAACCGGAATTTTCGAAATTCCCGGGATTTCATTTTCAAAAAATATTTATCCTTTTTCTTAGTTTCCATGTCGTAATTAAAGCAAGTTATAGCAATAATGTATGTGATGTGATACACCACATGAAGGAAGTTCAAAGAGAGCCGACCGACTGGCTAGACCTGTGTACTGTTCATTTATAAGGAATCATGGCGTGTGTTTAGTTTTGTTTTTACATCGCGCATGTGTAGTGTGTAAGTTCAGACGAGTCGCGACGGGAGAGTACAGTATTGGTAAGTAAATGTAAAACATAATATTGATAAATAATTAATTGTTACAGTTGAATGAAGATAGAATGTTGACATAAAATAAGAGTTTGTTGGTAACATGAATTATATGGAAATATTAAAACGTTGCACTCGAATCACTGGGTCAACTTTTTAGAACAGAAATGTTTGGTTGCTTGATTTTTTTTAAAATTATGCCCCAAAATTATTCAAATTTAAAAATAATACGCAATCCGTATTTTAATAATCAAATACACTAAGTTGAAGACACAGAAAAATTATGTTACTTTTATTTTGTGATAACAATGTTAATAGTTTACATTCACCCCATAATTGATTTTCGAGCTATTTTGTTCCCGGCTGAATTTTCCTAGCCGAACAGTTTACACGACTGAATGTCCCAGTTTGTCTGTACCGTACTTAGCTAAACATTTACATGACTGAATGTCCCAGTTTGTCTGTACCGTACTTAACTAAACATTTACATGACTGAATTCCCAGTTTGTCTGTACAGTACTTAGTTAAACATTTACATGACTGAATGTCCCAGTTTATCTGTACCGTACTTAGCTAAACATTTACATGACTGAACTTCCCGGTTTGTCTGTACCGCACTTAGCTAAACATTTACATGACTGAATGTCCCAGTTTGTCTGTACAGTACTTAGCTAAACATTTACATGACTGAATGTCCCAGTTTATCTGTACCGTACTTAGCTAAACATTTACATGACTGAATGTCTCAGTTTGTCTGTACAGTACTTAGCTAAACATTTACATGACTGAATGTCTCAGTTTGTCTGTACCGTACTTAGCTAAACATTTACATGACTGAATGTGTCAGTTTGTCTGTACAGTACTTAGCTAAACATTTACATGACTGAATGTCCCAGTTTGTCTGTACCATACTTAGCTAAACATTTACATGACTGAATGTCTCAGTTTGTCTGTACAGTTCTTAGCTAAACATTTACATGACTGAATGTCCCAGTTTGTCTGTACCGTACCTAGCCAAACATTTACATGACTGAATGTCCCAGTTTGTCTGTACCGTACTTAGCTAAACATTTACATGACTGAATGTCCCAGTTTGTCTGTACCGTACTTAGCTAAACATTTACATGACTGAATGTCTCAGTTTGTCTGTACCGTACTTAGCTAAAAATTTACATTACTGAATGTCCCAGTTTGTCTGTACCGTACTTAGCTAAACATTTACATGACTGAATGTCCCAGTTTGTCTGTACCGTACTTAGCTAAACATTTACATGACTGAATTCACAGTTTGTCTGTACCGTACTTAGCTAAACATTTACATGACTGAATGTCCCAGTTTGTCTGTACAGTACTAAGCTAAACATTTACATGACTGAATTCCCAGTTTGTCTGTACAGTACTTAGCTAACATTTACATGACTGAATTTCTCAGTTTGTCTGTACCGTACTTAGCTAAACATTTACATGACTGAATTCCCAGTTTTTCTGTACAGTACTTAGCTAAACATTTACATTACTGAATGTCCCAGTTTGTCTGTACCGTACTTAGCTAAACATTTACATGACTGAATTTCCCACTTTGTCTGTACCGTACTTAGCTAAACACTTATACGACTGAATGTCCCAGTTTGTCTGTACCGTACTTAGCTAAACATTTACATGACTGAATGTCTCAGTTTGTCTGTACCGTACTTAGCAAACATTTACATGACTGAATGTCCCAGTTTGTCTGTACCGTACTTAGCTAAACATTTATACGACTGAATGACCCAGTTTGTCTGTACCGTACTTAGCTAAACATTTACATGACTGAATGTCTCAGTTTGTCTGTACCGTACTTAGCTAAACATTTACATGACTGAATGTCCCAGTTTGTCTGTACCGTACTTAGCTAAACATTTACATGACTGAATGTCCCAGTTTGTCTGTACCGTACTTAGCTAAACATTTACATGACTGAATGTCCCAGTTTGTCTGTACCGTACTTAGCTAAACATTTACATGACTGAATGTCCCAGTTTGTCTGTACAGTACTTAGCTAAACATTTACATGATTGAATGCCCCAGTTTGTCTGTACAGTACTAAGCTAAACATTTACATGACTCAATTTCCTAGTTTGTCTGTACCGTACTTAGCTAAACATTTATACGACTGAATGACCCAGTTTGTCTGTACCGTACTTAGCTAAACATTTACATGAAAATTTAAACATTTAAACGTTTTACCTGTCAAACTAATTTCATGCAATAAATACATTTTTGTTAAGGATTTATTTTCCCTTCAGGTTGGTAGAAAAAAATGTGGGACCATGAAAAAAATAAACCTAAATTATATGAAAAGAATATGAAACTATCGGAAACAAAGACACCAGTTTGGTATTATTTCTTGAAAGCTGCGGACAATCTCTCAGCTAAATGCATTAGATGTAACATGATACTTAAACCATTGGGAGGTACAACATCAGGCCTACATCCTCATTTAAAGTCTGCACATTCCACTTACTACTTAGTTGGACGTATTTCTAAGGTCAGATTGCGACCAGATGCGAGAACGTATAGTGAATATTCAAAAGCTTGGTCAGACAGCAGCTTCCTCGTTGAAAATATCTATGAACAATGAAATTGAACATCTTGGATCTGAGCATGACGAACTTGTAGATACATAGCTGCTTAAGAGACAATTAGAAATTTAAATACAAAAGAAAATTCAGGCTCATGATAATGCTTCCAGACCAACAGATGGAGACATGGATACATTGGTAAAAATAGAAATGGCTTTATTTGAGAATGGCGGTTCAAGAGGAAAATATCTAGATATTGCGTATTAGAGCCTAAGGTCTACTCCTCCCACCAGTGTGGAGTCAGAGCGGGTGTTCTCGTCACCACGATCAATTTTAAGTCAACAACATTAGACATTATTTTAGTTGTTATTTTTGCGATCTCATTATTTAAATTTGACCAACGATTAAAACAACAGCAATTATTTTAATATTTCATTCATAAAACTACTTGATTTTTTTTTTTTTCATTTGATGAATGTTTTTATTTCATCGAAACATTCTCACCTCTAATCTCGAATATCGACTAAAAATTCTCTAAATACCGAAAAATATCGAAAATATCGGGATTCCTGCATCAGTAAACATCAAAATCGAAAATACCGGTTTTGGCAAAAGGGTCCAGTTTTGCGACCCCTATTAGGGACTACTTATTTTGAACCTTCAATTTTGGCACAGTATAATAATGGACTGTAATGGATTTTAAAACCTCATATTAAAACATATTTATCCAAACTACTTCTAGGTTCATTCTAAAACACAGTGCTGTATTTTGAGTATTAAATAATTATTTTTAATTATGAAAAATTATGTATTTGTCGTTTGCTGTTTCTTCTTGCAGAGTTCAAAAGCCGGCGATTGGTCATGGAGATCGAGATGACCGAAGTTAAGTGGCAAATTTGGCCCCATTTAGTGCTCGAGATATCCGGGTTCGGCGACATAAAAGAACCGACACAACCGATGAGAAAATGAGACAAAGAGAGAATTCGGCGGTTCCACGTCAAAAACGTCGACTTAACAGGGTTGGCGAGTTAACCAGGGTCGAATTAAGTGATTTCGACTGTACTCTAATTTGTCTAAATACATAAACTGGAGTCAAGAAATGAAACATGATGTGATAACGACCCCATTGGTGGACCTTACGGTTACACGCTGGAGATTTTTTAGAAACGGCTTTATCTCAAAGTTGGTGTCCTATGGCTTATTTCAGCTCATACCATATCAACCGTTCATAAATTGACTACCACTGGATAAGCTTGTCCTTAGTTTAAATCAAAATACAATCAATGGCGGGCAAGAATTTTAAAGGTGGGACAACCGACATCGATCTTCCTTACATAACTAATTATTTTCACTTTCATCAGTTATTCCCCTTTGTGGCGGGTCCAATCCTTTCCTATGCTCTCCTGACCGGGAAGTTAAATGTGGTAGCCTATTCAACAAATTTAATAGGGAAAAAAAATATGCCTTTGTTACCCAGAAGCAGGACACGCACCCCATTCAAACATACATATCATGTCTATTTCTCTCTATCAATAGCGCAAGATTGGAGGTGTGTGGCGTCTAAAGCAACAGTAACGCACGACTGCAAACTCATTGACCCTTGACTCTTGACCCCGCTGTATTATGGCGACGGAATGTGAACCCAAACACATCACTGGCAGTTACTGTGCACAGCGGCTTTAAAAGTGGTGTGTAAAGTGGTTGACATGGTGGCGTTTTTTGTTTTTTTGTGTGTGTGACCTGTCCGTACTAAACAAACGTATCTGGCAATGTCGTACTTACTTACTGATTGATGTAGGCCTACCCCAATTCTCAGTTGCTTATCTCCGACAGTAGTAAATCCTAGGACTTGTGGAGAGCACAGCACCCACTGTGTTTATCCATTTAAAAACAAAACAAACACACACTCAGTTCAAAACTGAACTCACATCTGGCCTGATAAAAGTACTTCGACACAACACACGTGTACGGCACTTAGACATGACGACATGTGAAACGTTGACCATACACACAGGCCGTACTCCACGTGTGCACAGAATTACGATATTTGTTGTTGTCATCAGTCGTTAGATCGGAGTTCGCCGGATCAAATTTAGTCAGTCTGTAATAGATCGGTGGGCCCCATCACAGAGTTACCGCATTAAAAAAAAAAAAAAATCAATAGATATATTGAAATACCACACACGAGATAATGAACTTAACTTAAAAGCAGATCGTAAAGTGCGAGCGTTTGATGATAAACTATAGTGTGTGGAAATGTTCACTGAAATTGGATATAATAAATTAGTCTAACACTATGTATTGATTTTCAAATTTTCGTGGTTTCAGATTTTCATGGCAAGAGAACTAAATAGAGAAGCAATGGGTGAAAAATTCACTAACCGATTCCCAGGAGATATGCTTATAATTTTAACCTAATGTTGAAGAGGAACTTCCCGATGAGACACGGAGAAACTTTACAGCCAGTGTCGAGCTGGCGACGTGTGTGACACCGGGTCCCCCCCACCCTGTTCCACCCCATGAGTTCGACATACCAGGCGCTGTTATCACTGTACCCAAAACTACGGAGACCTACTTTTAACGGCACGGATATAGTGGTTTTAGTAGGTGCTGAGTTTGATACACGACAGGTGGTGCAGGGGAAAGAACAAAACGTATTTACACAATTGCGTCCCTTTATTTGACTTTATGAAAGCCCCCAAATGAGCTTAAGGCTCCTAGAAGTGGCGGACGAGCCCACGGTGGGCCGCTGACATTTGGGCCGCCTGGACCGCTCTTTCGGTGATATTTGGGCCGCTTCTGCCGCTGATATTTAGGCCGTCTGGGCCGCACTCTCGCTGATAACTGGGCCGTTCTATCGCTGATATTTCGACCGCTCTTTCGGTGATATTTGGGCCGCTTCTACCGGTGACATTTAGGCCGCCTTAGCCGCTCTATCGCTGATATTTGGGCCGCCTGTGCCACTTCTGCTTTACAACAATACTGGCGAATTAAATCTCCCCTGACAGTTTATGACCAATAACACAACGATATGTCACAGATAAAGTTCATTCGCGACTTATATGTGGTAGAAACAGGTGGTTTTGTCAGTTGTCAGCAAACTTTCTTTGCGTAGCTCGCCATTTTATAAATTACATCGGCTAATAAAACATTTATAGGCCGGCAAATGTTAAAAAAACAATTAACAATCGGCACATACTGTATTTTATGAGAATACTCCACAATAATGAACGTGCCTATTTCTTTTTCTTCTGTTTTACAACTTAAAGCTAAAAATATTGTAAATGTTACAATTGATGAATCCAATAATTTAATTATAATATATCTTTTTTTTTTAAGGTGAACGTGGGACAATTTCATTTCTATCCTGAGACTTGAGACCCGACATCAGAACGTGAGATGTTAAAACCGTCTTTTTTTTTTTTTTCTTTAGGCAAAACTCTTACAGGTTTTAGAAATCTGTTTTCAAATCGGTTCTCTATATTTATACAAAGGCGGTGGGGGCAGTGGCGTAGCGAGGGTGTTTGGCGCCCGGGGGCAAGATTCGCGCCCGGGGACAAGATCCATTTTAAAGCGCCCCTTTTTCTTTTTTTCAACTCTCAAACCCATTATTTTCATCAAAAAAATAATCTCAAAGCACATTTTGGCGCCCCTAACTAGCTGGCGCCCGGGGACATCTCCCCCCCCTGTCCCCACCACGCTACGCCTCTGGGTGGAGGGGTGCACATGCAACCATTGCACTTGTCGGGTGCACGAACTAGATAAGGGCTTGCCCTTTTTCGAGTTTTTAAAATATACGGGGGATTGCCATTTCAGTGCACTTCATATACTTTAAATCGTATCCGGAAATTTGATCGAAAGAAATTTCGTCGACGGTAAATTGAGCGACGGTAATTTGTTCGAACGGAAATTTGGTCGAAACTTTTTTTCTGGTTTTTACATTAAAATTTCGCTTCAAATTTCTTTTTGAACACATTATTTTGTTTTACTATATAGTATAGTGCGTTCAAATAGAAAATTGACGAAAATTTTAACGTGTGAACCGAAAAAAACATTCGACCAAATTTCCGTTCGATCAAATTTCCGTGGATCAATTTACCGTCGACGAAATTTCTTTCGATCAAATTTCCGGTAACCACTTTAAATAGTTTTTTTTTCTCTTTATGTATTATCTACACATTGTATTTTTGGTTAACTTATTTATTTTATTTTATTTGTTTGCTTTGGGGGTTTGGGGGTGGGGAAGATAAAATATACGAGTGGCTGCGACCTGCCAAATTGTTAATATGTATATCGCACAATGACAACTTGCAATTACCAGGCAACCACGTTTCATCATTTTCAAAATCCAGCCACAGCAGGTCATCGAAAACTAGAAGTTTAATAACACCATTATGTGCAGGATTGGACGATTTGACTTCACTGCCATGCCTGTTAAAAGCCTCGACTTGTCAAGTACACATCCATTATCAGTCAAACTTTGGTGGACATCAACTTTGTAGCCACTCTTTAAATGTTTACCCAGTGCGAACGTTAACCATGCAAACTAGGCCAGACCTCGAAAGTAGATATTCAGAGTGAAAAATATGCAATATTAAGATACATTCTGATAATAAAGTAGACATTCTGAGGGGAAAAGATGAAAAAACTAAGTCAGATACTTAAGTAGATATCCTGAGGGAGAAACGTGCAAAACTAAAAGGATACTCATCTAGATATTCTGAAGGAGAAAGGTGGAAAACTAAGACGCAGCTACTTGAGTAGATATTATGAGAGAGAAAAATATCATTAATGAAATGAACACGTATTAAGGAAAGTATTCAAATAATGTACGCTCCGTATTGAAATTCGTGTTGGTTTGACCCCATATATATATCCGCTCACAACAGGCAATACATATTGTGGATATTGTTATAGGTATGGAAGCAGCTTGCCTTTATTACAGCAAGGTAAGCTTCGCCCCGTCCGTCCCCCCCCCTTCCCATTGATAGGTTTATTGTTCTCAGTAATGTATGTGACTGTTCAATTAGAGTTTGCCTTATCTCCTTAACGATTTTTGCAAAATAGTTTATCGTTTACCGGGCCGTGACAAGCAACATCCGTGCCCGTGACAACCAACTTATGTGCCCGTGACAACCAACATCCGTTCCCGTGACAACCAACATCAGTGCCCGTGACAACCAACATCCGTGCCCGTGACAACCAACATCTGTGCCCGTGACAACCAACATCCGTGCCCGTGACAACCAACATCTGTGCCAGTGACAACCAACATCTGTGCCCGTGACAACCAACATCTGTGCCCGTGACAACCAACATCCGTGCCCGTGACAACCCACTT